TACAATTGGACGACTTCATCGAGTTAGTTGTTCACATTGTCATGGACGAGATACAATATGTGTAACACGAGAAAGTGATATTATTGATCGACAAGATTTTGTTTTACAATCAAAAAAAGCAGTAAAACAATTTCCTTTACATCTTAGTTGGGCAATGACTATACATAAAGCTCAAGGGATTACAGTTGATCAAGTAGTCATTAGTACAAAAGACTTGTTTGGAAGTGGAATGGGCTATACAGCTTTGTCTCGTGTTCGTACACTCGAGGGTTTATTTATTATTGATTTGTATTTCGAAAAATTCTATTGTAATGAAAATGTTGATAGAGTTCTTTCTCAAATGAAAGAGATGAAAAGAAAACCATCAATATTTCAAGAATCTTCGAATTTTTTGAACATATTTTTTCATAATATTGAAGGATTGAAATGTAACTTTCATGCATTTCGACAACATCATTTAATACGAAAAGCTGATGTTATTTGTCTAGCAGAGACATGGTTAAAGAATAATAATGAGATCGATAAATTAGAACTTGATGGATATAAACTTTTACATAAAACACGATTATCTTCATTTGAATCAAACCATCCGCTTCATTCACAAAAGGGTGGTGGTGTTGCGATATATTTTCGAAAAGAAATATCTATAAAAAAAATAGACTCATGCAAGCATTTAAATCTCGAATATATTACTTTCGAAGTCGAGAAAAATAGCACGACTATTATCATATGTTATCGATCGCCTCAACAAAGTAAAAATGAATTTTTAATAAATTTAACTGAACATCTAGAACAAATCAGTATTCAAAAACATATTCTTCTTATTGGTGATCTCAATGAAGATACTCTAAGTAATAAATCAAAACCTATTGAAATAAAATTACAAAGCTTAGGTTTTACAAATATATTTAAACGTTTACCTACTACTAATAGTTTGAGTAGTATTGATTGTATCTATTCAAATTTTATATCAAATAAAGATCAATATTACGATGTAGCAGGCACGTATTACAGCTTCCATGATGCATTAATTTTGTCTGTAAATATTGAAAATGGAAAATCTAAACCAAATATAGAAAATGAATTAATTAATGAAATAACAATGGAAACAAATAATTCTTTTCAAACCTCGTCAGAAGTTGTCAAAATTTCTAAACAGATAAATAAGCGAAAAGAAATATCAAGAAAAAGAACTAATAATCAGCCTCTTAAAAGAACAAAAATAACAACGAACGATATCAGTACTAATAGTGGTCTAAAAGAAAAACAATTACTCTTTCTTCGGAATGTAGATAAGACTATGGACATAAACAGTCTAGAATACTTATCAAATACACTTAGTTTAATTGACCAACTTGCTACTATTGGTTTAAAAAAAATTAATATTTTAGGAGATGGTAATTGTTTTTTTCGTGCAATTTCACATCAACTATATAGACACGAAAATGACCACTTAAATATTCGATCTGAAACAATAAGTTATCTCATTTCAAATAAGAAAGACTTTGAACCATTTATCGATGAAACAGATTCAACAATAGAAAATTATATTGAATGAATGAGCCGAAGTGGAACTTATGCTGATTACCTAGCAATTTCAGCTACAGCAGTTATCATTAATAAAAATATCATCATTCATGAAATAGACAAAAAACCTCTGTTTATTCCTGGATCTGATTTTATTGATGATCAATTGCATGTGTATTATAATCCTACTATTCTACACTATGATAGTGTTGTTTGCCTTAATGATGACACAGCATTCCTCTCTTTTGAACAAATTTTATTTATTTCATAATTCTGTCCTCTTTATTATTATCTCTTGTTAATTTAACTTCTCACATTTCTAAACCTCTACGTTTGATTGTCTCTGTCTTTCAATTAAAATAATATGGTTCATTTATATTTGTCTGTATTAGTTTTTTTCTTATTATTTTACTTTTCCTTGTCATACTATTTCACTTCTATCATATCGTGTCAATATTTAAAAACTATCGTAACATGGGAATAATAATATTACTGCATGAAAAAAGGTAAATAATTGATCACAACTCAATCACTAAACAAGATATTTTTATTGTATGTTTAGTTTTTATCTCTTCTACCTATGGAAATAATCTTTTTCTCTATGAAAAATGTGAACGACCATATATATGATAGATCTTTGTAAGTATAAGGAAGAAATTCTACAGTTGTACATATTTCTTTGCACATTAACCTCTTATTATCAGAAAGAAACTGTCTTTTTTTTATTTAGTTAGCAATGTCACTCAAAGTTTAGTTAACATTGTAATTATCTTCATTTGACATATGAAAACATGAGGTAGGATAAAATTTATTATTTAGATTATTGTAGTAATTATACGAATCATCTAGAATGAAAAAGGATTACAAATGAAAAAACTAATGTGGAATAATGTTTACATTGGTTCTATCTTAAGCTATGATCCCTAAACACAATTTTCTTTTGTTAGTATGTATTATTTTATTTAAAAAAAACAACAGAAATCTATTTTGTCCATTAATAGATCACCAATACTCGGTGAACAGAACAACAATATTTTCTTTAGTTAAAATAAAATAACTATAATTGTATTAACAAATACTAGAATTACATATATATTTGAAATCATAGTTCGTAATTATTCAATATAAATTTATTTTATTTATATCATGTTTATTATAGGGAAAAAATTGATACCTGCATTGAATAATTAAAATGTCGCTACGTGACATTAAAAACAAACAAAACCAAATAAGATAAATAATCAACAAAAATAAGAAATAATAAATAAAAAATTTCGTCAAAATAGTTTGTAAGAAAAAACAAGGTTTCATTTTTAAATTATTTGCCTTTTTAATAGATTCAAATTTTCAGGCTGCAAAATTTTGTGATCATCAAATCTACATCAATTACTTTTATTATATAGGATATAACTAAACTGATGATCTTTGTTTTTCCATTAAAACTTTTTCCTTTTATAATTTATACCGTGCATGAAATATAGTCATATGTATTCAATAAAATATTCGCTGCTACACCAATATGAAATCACTATTATCCTCTGAAATCCTGATCTTTCAAAAGAAAAAAAAAAGTATTTTATAGGTTTGGCAATTTTCACATATTCCGATAACTAGAAACCGAAATGTTATCGTTCCAACACAACTATAAAATTTCAAGATCCACCATGTTACAAACGTTGTTCGATTCTCAACTAAAGATCTCATTCATTAACCGTTAGCTCCCTAAAAAGAGAAATTTCGGTAGAGTTCGGTTTCTGCAGACGATATTTGTACAACATTATGTATGTATTCAATGATATCCGTATTCAAAATGAAAATTTTTTTTTCGGTTTACGCATATTTTTGATACGCGTCAATGTTAATCAAATTTTACTGTTTAATTAGCGTCAAAAACTCATTATATTCAAAAATATTTACACATCACACGTATTATTTAACATTTCGTGATCATCATCACCTTCAACTGAATAAAAAGAACAAAGTAATATTTTGTTTGATGAAATCGATCATAAGTTCTATTATTGACTGAAGAATTCAAAATAATAATTAATTTTCAAAACACAAAAATAGAGGCGTGCGGTTTTTATCGTTTAAAAAAATTGAATGTAGAAATATATGTTAAATATCAAAATGTTTCTCATACAAAAAAAAAGTTGAAATCATACTTACAGAAGAGGTTTCGAGAACTATATTACACTGTTTAAGAAGTATCCTAATAATCTGTTGATCTTTTTAATATAAATATATGAGCTATAATACATTGAGGAAATCGTGTTTTTCTTAAATGTGTTTTACCTTGGAATTTTTAAATATCGCTCACATTTTGTCAAAAGTAATCGAACTGGTCTTGCTTTAGATAGCCGATTATTATATATGTCATATCGAAATTACATCCGTCGGCGACGTTATAACTTCGTCAAGTTTGTTTATTGAAGTTATAGCTTCGTCAAAATTATTGACGAAGCTACAACTTCGTCGACGGATGTAACTTCGATACGGCATAAACATATGAAAAAAAAAAATTTACAGGCTCTGATTGATATCTTCATTACACTATTTTGTTTTTATTCAGAATAAATTAATTCTTGATAATATGCAAACACTATCAATGCATCATTTTCCTATATGAATTTAAATGTAGCCGGGAATTCTTTTACTACGATGTAATTGTAATTCTAGATATAGGTGTATGAGTCGTATTATGAGTATGAAAAAGAATACGAGTGCTTAATTGAACAATATTCATCGTTATATAGATCATAAGAGAGTATCCTTATAATAAAAAAATAGTTTACTCTACATTATGTAATACTGGAGCGAAGAGTGTATATATATTTTTTTCTAAACGAGGTTTTTAGACACAAAACACTTTATATAAGAAACGTTTAAGTATCATATAGAAAAAAAAATGTTTAAGTAAAAAAAAGAAAGGACGATGATGAACATGGCTAGAAAGTGATACTGTCATATATTTTTCATAGCTCTGTACCTAAAAAAAAATTTCATTACCTTTTTAAAAGTTCATAGATAATGAAAATATTGCAAGGTAGAATATTATAAAAACCTTTTTTTCTAAAACATACAAATACTAATCTATTCATATATAAAATCATAAAAAAAAATTGACACTTTCTAGAAATAAAAATATGATTATTTGAAGATCATATAAAAAGCTGTTTTTTCTTTGGATTTTTCTAAAAAAAACGTTCTGTTAATAAAAATAAACTACCAACTGTTAACTTTGAAAAACATTAGGAACCGCAGATCTCTACTTTATTTGTGTTGAAAATTATTCAAAAGACATTCTTCGTTTTGAATTCTGCCAATAATATAAATTTTTCTTAATATCTTAATTTTAAAATTTATATAATATAATTTATTAGCTAAAACAATGAATAACAACTATGCAAATAATGATTGTATAATGGGCTACATAACAAATGTTTCAAATGAAAATAAAAAGAAAAAATATTTCATTAAATTTACAATGTCATCAGAAAATGATGAAATTATTGACGGTTGGGTTTTTAGTTCAGTTGGTGGCATTTTATCTACACCACTTGGTGTAGCATTAGCTAATTCTTTAAAGAACAAAAGTGGTATTAAATTGTGGAGTTCTCTTGATAATAATAATGGTACGTGCAGCACATTTTGTGTTTTTTATTGTTAGAAAAAATTGATTTAAAAAAAAACTTTTTATTTCATATTCGTTGCAATAGAAATATTGAAGAAAAAAATATTAAAACATAATTTTCTTTTTATTCTAAAACTTGTCTCATACTTACTATTTGAAAAGAATAGTTCATACCAATATTAGTCATTTTAATTTTCGATTTGCTTCTTTTAAAATTCTCATAGTAAATCAATATGTAACAACGAATGATATTGCTATATAGAAAAGATGTAATTGCGTAATTCTTTTACAATTATAATCATTTTTAAAAGATAAATGATGATTAATGTCATCGGTTCATAAATGTTATAAAATACATAAACAGAAATATACGATTGAAGTTAAATGTAAAATGTTTTTAATGACTATTTATGAAAAATAGCAGGTGATTGAAAAATTCTGTGTTAATTTTGTTTTTTACATAACGTTCTAACGATGATTTGTAGAGATTTTATCGTTTCTTTTGTTAAAAAGAGCGAAGTGTCTAGTGCGAAAGTGTATAAAAAGATTGAATTGAAAATGTTGGTCAATGCCCATAGAAGGTCCAGAAAAAGAATTGAAGAACATTTCCGTAGCTCTTTTTAAACTTCGAAAAGATTCCTTCTGATCAGACTGTTTATATTTTTCTTCGTATAATCAAAATTTTAGAATGTATGTATAATGAACTCTTTTTCTACAAAAAAGTAACTACATGCATTTTTTTATAATGGCCGAAATGAACACTTTTATGATATCATATGATGTTTAAATTCTTCATCACTCCCAATTATAGTCGGAAAAATAAATTCTATTACGAGGCGAAGATTATTAAGATACATATGTTTTATATAAAAACAAAGTTTGATAAGCTCCTTATCATATTATATTATTTAAAACAGAACAGATTTTCAGTGAGATGTTCAACCAAACATTTATTTTCGTATTGTAAATCAAATAGCATTCTTTGTACTAAATGGTTATATATATATATGATACTCGAAAACATTGTAAGTTAACCCTTTGACGGGCGACTTTTGGACGGTCAACTTATATCGATATTAATAGCTCAATTAGCTCAGTCTTAATCGACATTATAACGAGCAAGGATCGGGTCAACAATATCGGATTACTTCACGTGTGATGAGCCAATTTATTGTGATCAAGATAAGCATTTTTATATAAAATTCCCGTAAAGTTAGAAAAATTCATCAATTCTGTACTTTAATACGTTCTATTGTACTCTGGGAACAAAATGTAAGTCCAATGTAACAAACTTCTATTTAGTAAATGCAATGGGGCTTTGGAAGAAGAACAATAATACACCCACTGAACAAAAACAAGTAACGAGGCCGCGGATGCATGAAAAAATAATACAAATTTTACTCAACCCTAAATACAAATTCAAGGCAAACTTCCAAGTTTGTCAGATCTCTTCGGTCGCTTTTTAAAAGTAAACATGAGCGCTGCTCATGTTTATAATTAACTGTGGAAGGAGAGCATAAGCATTGAAGCAAAAATTTGCATATCCAAAAGTTAATTTTATACATGCAGTGATGTTTTCCTTTCTAGCGAAGTCATTTTGTCTATTTTATTATATTTCTATAATAACAGATAAAAAAGTGGTTCATATATGGACCACCACCCGTCAAAGGGTTAATAACAAAAAAAACCCAAACAAATATTTTCGAATAAAAAAATCACCAAAGTTGCTGAATTGTTTTTCAATGCTTTTTAATCTAAAATTCTTATGGCGTTCGACAAATATTTTCTATGTAATTCTATTCACATTTTGCTCTAAACACTTGGTTGTTTCTAACAAAAAAAAAGAGATTCGTACAAGATTCCGTTATAAAAATATATTAAAAACAACATTAATACAAAACCGTTGTACTATCTGTTACAATAAAGTAGAAAAAAATCCTAAAAAACAAACTTCAAAAGATTGAATAATAACAAATGGTTTATCTCAGATATCTAATTTATCACAATATAAAATACTGAAAATATGTTTTTTAGGTTCATCAACTTTTCGGATGCAATCTTGGTCGAAATATCAAATGGTTAATCTTAATTTTGACTTACAACTACCATCAAATAATATTTTATCTATAAAAAATGCACTGATGAGTACTGAATTAAATACAATACGAGTATCTATAATTGATATTCGACCATCAGAAAATTTTATCAGTCAAGGTATCTCACGAACATCAACTTTCGTTTTAATTGGAGATCAAACAGGTACAACTTACTTAATAGCAACCGATTTACCATCAGACATATTACAAGTAGAAAAAACATATGATATTACAAAAGTACATAAAAAAATTTTCAACGGTTCATTTTTGTTATCCACCACCATTGATACACATATATCATCATCGAATACAGTGAGCAAAATTAAGTTAATTAAATTCTAAAAAAAAAATTCAATGTTTTTTCTGATTTAGACAATAATACCTGATATCAATGATGTTGCTGAAACAATGAACATAAACTTAAGTGAAAAAAGAACAATAACAACAAGTATAAGTGAAGTTGGAGAAATTCGTCGATCATATAGTTGCTTAACATGTCATGGCGATTTAAATGAAGTTAAAAATGTTGCTGCGTTATTGTATTGTGAGAAATGTCGTCGTCATATTTTAAAAGTAAATGTCACTCAACATATTTCCACTACATTAGTATTAAAAAATGGTATTCTTCATTTTCTTCAAACTATTCGTAAATTACTATATTGTAATATAATTTAGATCAAGAAAAAATTATTTTATTTGTGAATGACCAAATGCTTCATCAGCTACTCGAAATCATTGGTCTAAACATCAATATGATCGATATGGATATTGCAATTGGTATGATGTCTTGTGGAAATTCGATTTTAGAATATAGTGAATTACGTAAAGAATTACTTGGAATTACCAAGCCAAAATAACAAAATATTTATCCATAAGGTATGCTTGGTATTTTTTTATACTTCCTTATCAACGCTAATACTAAGTTTTTCTTTTAGTTCAATCAATAAACTAAAAATTTAAAAAACAATAATTGATTATTTATTCAGACATTTAAAAACAAAAAAAAACTCTTTTTAAAATGTTTTCATATAAATCATAATTAAACGATTGCAGAAAAATAAAAAGAGACCTGAAATTCTTTCGAAATAGTACAACAGTTTACATGAATTTTCTCTAAAACAAATAAAATTTTCTGAACTTGTAGGACTTGAACCTTTAAGTATAGCTGAAGGTTTAAAAAAATCCGAAAGCTTTTCGAAATAGTTCTTATATGGGAAGGGAAAAAAGTGGATTCTCTGAACGAATTTGCTTTCTAGCTGGATTCTTCAGTTTAAATGAAAGAGCTCTAAATATTTAATCATAAATATTACTCGCTAGAGTAACCGTTACTTCTAACAAAAACGTTTCTTTACAACGTGTTCTGTTCTTTTTTTGGGAAACCGCTAGCAAATGATATTAGATTTTCTATTTTCTACACTTAGATTTCTAAATAACTAATAAAACTTGAAAAGCAATTAAGAAATGATAGAGATGTTTTAATTAGAAAATTCACGAAGATTAGAATCTATCATGGAAATTCTTCAGAAAATAGAACGAGACCAAAAAAAGCCCACAATGAAATATTATCATCTTAAGGATTAATATTTGTAATAAATTTTCAGGCTTCTACGATTTAAAACAAAGTAGTTAGCTGAAAACACTTTCGTTAACAAAACCCATTTCGTCAACACCAATAGAACCAGTTATAGAGGTTTTCATATTGTTTTGAACGCAGCGACTATACTTACAGATTCAAGTCCTACAACTTCAGAAAATTCGACTTCTTTTGCAAAAGAGTCCATGTAATTGTTACATATTTTCGAAAAAAAAAACATCTTGATTACTGAATTTATGTAATAGATTGAGTGATATTAAGAAGAATTTCAGATATAAAAAAATTTTCCTAATTACAATTTTATATTAAAATGGAAACGTCAACATCACAAACATTAATTCCTACAGAAAATCCGATTTCAGATTCTATTATCATTGGTAAGAGGTTTATAAAATATAAAAAATAATGCATTTTTATTTTACGATTTAGAAAAGCTGTTAGCGCAATCCCTTGCGGGATTAAAAATGTGAAACACGATATACCCACTTTAAATGACGAAGCAAAACTTTTGTTTTGTAGAAGTAATGGATGTGATATTCAATTATTTGAGGATTTTACATATTTTTTTTATAAGACTCTGCATAATAAAGTAACAACATTGTACAGAATTAGTCTGTACACAGTGTATAGAATTGATACAAACATTTTAATTAATTTTTAATTTTCCGAGCAGTTTACATGAATTTTTTTGTAAGAAAAAAAAATAGAGGAAGAATGTAAGTTTTTATTTGGTGAGCTTTAGTATTTTTTTATGAGAATACTACACTTAATTTCATTGAACAGTTATATGTAACGGCTCGATGATAAACGAACAGAAATCATCGTGTATCTCAATCCGATACGAATGAGTATAGTGATACTATTGATTTAAACTTTATCTGAAGCAGCGTAATAGATATGCAATTGTTGACTGATTTGTGATGCTTTAAGATAATCATGAAGTTAAGTATTTATCTATGAAAGAAAATGTAACAATCTATATGAATGATCAGATCCACGGAAATTATGGAACGAATATTTGAAATAACATAAATATCTAGATAAGAAAAATGGTGGAATATGAAAATAGAAAAAGATATATATTATTTCTTAAAGGGTTAGGAATTTAAAAATGCTTAGTTTTATTCGTATTTGAGTAAATTTATTCGATTATTTTAGATATTGTTTAATGCAATAGTATTTATATGCATAGTTTTTGGATTAAAGTTAATTAAAATGTTCATCGAAGATAAGGTTAGTAATACATCTTCATCTTCAAGCAAATCGTTTTGACAAAGTTCTTCATGATTAGATTGTTGTAATAAAACTTGAATTTTTGATCTTTCAATAATGAATTCAAAGATATTATGATTAATATCTCTTATATCAAGTTTTATTTGATCTTGTTGAATTGAGTCTTCTAAATACAATGATCTCGATTTACACGTCAAACATTTAATAGTCTTGCCATGACATTCAACATCAGTTGAATGACACTTTGGACAAAGACAAGGCTCCTTGATTAATTCGATTGATGTTATTGAACCGGCTATTGATGATTCTTGTACGATGTTAAGAGAATCACAAGACACAACATCAACGATGTTATTGATAGACTCAAATCTAAAAAATATTTTTATAGATTTTGTTAGAAATATACATTAACAGATATTTGTCAACGTGGAAGGTGTTTATAAATAAAGAAAAATTAAGATAAATAATAGGGAAGCTCACATTGTATGTGTTGTCGTTGTTAGAGATATTTCATCATTAAATATTTTTACTTTTGCTAATTTGATCAAGTAACATTGATCCTTTTCTATAAATGTAAAATTGTTCTCCCAAAGATTTAATTTGATGCATTCAGTTTTATCAGCCACCAGAACAGTTTTTTTTAATTTTTGAACTCTTTTGTGTGCATTATTAAACAATACAATTTCCTCCTCAAAATGAAAATATTTGGTCAGAGAGTATTTTTTTTTTGAAAACTTACTGAACCAATGTCTACAATTTTACATGAAAATGTAACATATTCTCCATCTGACATGCATTGAATATTTTTTATTGCCGTATGTTGAATACATAAAGGTTTGAATGATAGATTTATTGGTGTAGCTATCGTTCCTGATGTAACAACATACGCATTTTCACCATTAATTTTTAACTTGTTTAACTTGATACCAGACTGATTGTTAAAATGTTCAATTAGTTTTGTACGAAGCATGCATGTTCCTGTTGATGATACATATTTTGTTATTCGATGCATTTTTTGATCTTTGTCGCACAACAATGCGTTCCAAAATTTGCTTTTGCTGTCAAGTTGTAAATTGGAAATATCACTAACGAAAACAATGATCCCTTCCACTACTGAATTAGCTTGTATATTCGGAATATTATCGTTTTTAACTATATTAATTGTTCGTTTCATTGTGCAGTATTTTTATAATGTAAAAAATTCAAAAAAAGAATAGTGAAATGAAGTTGAAAAAAATGATATAAAGAATAGCGCAATATTTTTTTTTAATAGTAGATACTGTTAGTGAAATTACTTTTTTATTCTTTTATACTAATATTATGAATATCAATGATAAAATGTTGTTGAATAACAAAAATATAGTTTTGGTTCAATCACTTCGAGATATTATGTTTGAGATTTGATTATTAATGTTTTTATTAAAAAATAACTAAGATATTGGTATGATTTTAGACGTAGAACATATGCAAGATAACTAATAAGTTAGGTATAATTATATATATTTAGAAAGTGTTTTAATGAAAAAGAAATATAAAATTAATGTAATAATGAATATATAATATAGCGATCTATTATAGACTGTGAATTGACCAAAAAAGGGAGTTTTAAATTAAAAACTTTTACAAAGAATTATGAATTTGAAAATTTTCTTTTGGTTATGTCTTGAATGAAAATAATATTGCAACATAGATTTGATGCATGTTCGAATATTAAAAAATGTTTAGAGATGAAATATTAGCTCAAAAGTTCAGCAAGTTGAGTGGTAGAGAAAACTACTCTATGGAACAACATTACAAAATATAACTATGACATTTTATTTTGTGTTGCAACTATCAGTGTAAAAGAGAGATAAATTTTGTAATAAATGAAATGACATTATCAAAAGTAAAGTACGTTGCAAAGAACTACCACTTTTCCAAAGTGATTTTATCAGATTACTTTGTAGTTATTTGTATCCTGTTGCTTTTGAAAAGTTAGAATTCTATGAATTTTCTTTAGTCAAAGGCATTGATGTTATTAAATTACAAAATGATTTCATAGGTAAGACATCAATTTACATGAGAAAGTTTTGGTAACTCAAATAAATTTACAAAGTAGAAGAATTTGAAATTTATTTTGGTTGTCTTTTACTTAAGTGAACGCTATCAAAAATGAAATAGATGATTATTTATGAATATCAATCTGGAATGCTGTTATGATTATGAGTAAATCTAATTGTTAATTATGAAAAAATACAGGGATTGCAGAATAGATTTTGGATTGTTTCACAAATATTCTTTTTACTGAATGATAATCGATAAAGAACAGTTTTGCGCAGATATATTGTCGATATATAATATGTAGAATATCGATATTGATTTTTCTAGTGTTGTCTAGAATTTATATTAAATTATAATGTTCACAAAATTTTTTCTGTAGACAAAATGAATCATTGTTATCGCCAAAATGGCGTCTTTGAAAACGGTATATTCGTTCAGGTTGAGATTCGTTGCAATTTCCAATACTTGTAGCGAGAAATGCATTTATATCGAATTCTTGTGGACAAAGAATATTGAAACCACGTTGTTGATATTTAAGTAAACGTGGAACTCTTCTCATATACTGTGATGTAGTCACTGGCATTGCATAACATGTTGTATGACCAGAGTTCAGTGCTTGCAAACAACTAAAGGAAATGATTACTCGTTTAGAGTCAAATGCACAAGCGCAAATATCAAGATCAAACGAATATAGAATTCGTGAAATAGTGATTGGATATAAAGTTGGACAAATGAATTGAATGGTGATTGATGGTAAGAAGTTATTGCCGTTGAAAATGTCATTGATTGTGATTTTTCGATATAAATCAAATTGAATTAGTCTATTGGACCAAATAGTTTTACGCCGAATAAAGTAATTGTTTTGTAATCGATTTTCTAATTCATTCTAAATATAACGAATGAAAACAAATGATACTTTGGAAGATGTGGTTAAGTAAACTCAATTTTCATTGGATTTTATGTAAAATAGTATACCAATATTTCACAAATCCGAAAACTACAATCGCTATGTAAGGAATGTTTTTTTAGCGAAATTAATTAATTTTGCACTAACGTGCTTTTTATTAATGAGTTAGAAATTCACAAATATTTCATTTTTTACGATTGTTGAGTTGTTTCAATTTACTTTTTCAATCTATAGCAAAAGAGTTACTGTTTTTTTTTGAATTAATTCACAATGTTAAATAAATTACAACGATTGCAATTTGGTGATATTAGGTACCAGTTTATACTTAGATCAAGTAATGTATTTTTTTTATAGCTGATATTGATTACATTAGAGAATGTGATACAGAAACATGTCAAGCTAATTTAATATTATCGATTATAAAATGTTTTGAAGTAAATTTGAAGAGGAGGTGAAATTTGAAACACATTTTTTATAACATCGAAGTCGTATGTTCAGAATTAGTTCATTATGTCTAGTATTCAGAAATAAGAGTAAGAGCAATTGTTAGACTTACTACTGCCGTTTTAAATAATCGTGAATTTTGTTGTAAAAAAAATAAATCGATATCAGATGTATTTTTTTCTGTTAAAGGTTCGACAAGTAAAGATGAAATAACTGAACCACCAGCAATAACAAATGTATCCCAATTAATATATGGACCCCAAAGATCATATTCATATCGACTGGTCAGATTTTCTATAAATTGATTCAAGTTGGTTACAATATTCGGTGGAGTTCGATTGTTGCCCCAAATTTTGAATAGCATTAACTCTTCATTGTTTAATAAACGTGGTTCAAGAAGATCTGTTCATATCAACAATATAGAAATAATATAATTATATTTTGGATGATATTTTTATTTATTTTTATATAGATCAATTCGTTTTAGTAGAAATTCTTATTTCAATTCAGTCTTTATTACCTATTAAAGAACACGTTTGCTATAAAGAATTTATTCATCAGTGAAAGAGATATATGATAATATTCTAATTTTATAATTGGAAAATGTAGAGTAATTTAAACGCATCTTTCAGTTGAGAAAAATAGAATACATTCAAGCTTTAATTTTCACTAGAAATAGATATAAAAAATAAACTATCTCTCACATGAATAGTTAAAAATATTCAAAGTAGGATAAGAAGATGTGTAATGGAATGCATTAAATGACCATAGTCTGCAGTATAAACAGAAAACGTTCGTAGAATAATGTTTTAATGTTTTTTCAATTATAGTTAATGCGAATGCTCCATAAACAAAACTATTCCATTTGTATGATGATAATGTAAGCATAATACTATTTTCTGAAATGAAATACGGTGATTTTCGCATATGAAGTAATGATTTTGTTTCTTTATCCAATGAAAGATCAGGTTGTAAATAAAGTAATTGTATTAAATGGTAATTGCCAATACTAAGAGCGGTATGATTAGCTAATGTGAAATGAAATAGATCAATTCCAGATAATTCTTTGCTTATACGATCAATCATTTCATTTGGCAATGTTGGTATAAATAAAATATCCATACAAACAAATGCAATATTGCAAATAATAATAGTAAAAAATTTTGAATTATAACAAAAATAGAGCAAACAAAATGAACAATATATTTCAATATGAAGAAGCGCTTCAAGCAGCAAATTATATTTTAATGAATAATTTTTATTTGGATTGGAATTTTCTATATTTAAAAGTTTTGTCTTTCTGCACAAGAAAACTATACTAACATCTATCGAGTTCGTTAAAAAAGAAAATATATCCATATAGTTTATCAAAAAACAAAAGCAATGATTTCAATACAGCTAGTCTATCTATATTCCTAAGATGTTAAAAAGAAGTTTGAGTAGAATTACAAAAGATATCAATATATTTGGATAACTCTTTATGAATTTGCTTCTAATAATAAATTTATTATCAAATTTAGAATGCGATATTTATTTGTTGTTATTTTATTTTTGAGAATTATACTGAGTAATTCTCATTGTTGCTGTATCATATATCTAATTGATTAAGTCCGAGCAAAAGTTCAAAATCAGCAGGAGCATCTGGTAAAGGCCATAATGCTTTTTGAATATTATCAATAGTAATTTGTTGATTAATATTTTGTATTCTATCTTGCATGATGATAAAGATAGCGCAATTTGAGTCAACAAGTTCTGCAAGATATTCGAATAACCGTTCACGACGAATAGGTTCATGGTACGTTGAATGTTTAGAATCAATTTTAAAGAAATAATCTTTACTAGATCGAAAACTACGAAGACAATAATAATGATAGTCTTGTTGAATGAGAAATGCTTGAATATATTCAATATTGGATAAAATAAGATTCCGAATAGCATAGCTACTGTCTTCTAACTTATCGATTCGTAAAAGCTGCACATTTAATGTATTCTGAAGAGCAAGTTGTAGCACTTGAATATTATAATCCCCCGTGTTTTTGTAATAGTAATCGGTAAGTTGTACTGGTTGTCCACTTCGACATATTTGGTCGGTAACTGCTATATCTTCAGCGATATCAAATAAATACTCATCACTAAATAAATCAAGTCTTTGTGAGAGTGCACGTAGAGCATGTCATCCGCAAAAGTGTTTTTGGTGTTCCTCACAAATGATAACATGCTCGGGTTTTGTTACTGAATAAGTTGTGACTGGTAACATGCATTGTAATTGTATTTGTTTTGTATTGATGCAATTTGATATTGATTTATTATTTGTATTTGATAATGTTGTTGATATTTGGTTAGAATCAAATGAATGAGGTAGACACCACTCTATGTATCTCTATAGTAATCTATATAAATGTATAGATATCAAAAACAATAATAAATACCTCAGTTTTCAAGTAGTGCTCAATTTCAATCGGATATTGTTGTTCGATTTTGTTTAAACGAGACATTTCGTTCAGTGCTGGTTTGGATACCTAGTATACTAAGACATGATAAAGAGTATTTTATAACAAAATTTTGCTACTTTGAATGATTTACGGTCATATGCCAAGATAATGATATCAGTCAATCTTCGTGTACGACTCAAGATTGTATAAAACATACCAGGTTTCCAGTTTATACCAGTTAAATCGACAACTAGCTTATTATAAGTCATGCATTGGGATCGGTGAACTGTTATTGCATAGCCTAAACTGAGTGGATATTGTTTTCTTGTCATCCATATTCCATTTTGATCTTTGAAACTAACTTCTTCTGCAGTCATTTTATATATAGAACCATTATCTAATTCTAGTACAGAAAAAAAAAGATTATGTTGAGTCGTATTTTTCTCTTTTTGTTACCGAGTTCAATATATTTTGGTAATTTCACAGTTAATGCTCGGTTTAAATTTGGAAAAACACATCGATTTGACATTGGTAAGATAATATCATCGTCTTTATCCCATACTACATCTTTTATGATTGCTTCAGTTCCGTTAACCATTTCTCCATCAAAATCAATGTTACGTCGACATATTACACGTGCACCAATACATATAGGTAATTGCTCAAACATAGATGCACACTCGTTTTCGTCATCAGAAGGTTTTAAATCGATTTTGCATCCTTTTTTACTTGCTTGTACTGGACTAAAAAATAATGATCGAGCCATGCCAACTTTCTAAAGAAAAATATTAATAAACATTAAGCATTTTAACTAGATGTCAACGAACGTCAATGGATTGAATAATCCATATTGGAGTTTTTCGTTTCATTGCTGTTTGTCGAAGTTTTATAGAATTTCTGTCATTTGTTTTGGTTCTTACACTGAATGCATATATGGCATTTTCAAATGCTGTTGACTGTAATTCTGCTAATCTTTCTTTGTAGTATAGTGGGTTATCTTCTTTTCGAATACTTCTACTTTTTATCTTCATTTCATCCTCTTCATTGTATTCACCTGAAAAGATTTTACTATCAGGTATGCTAGCAGTAAAGAATGGTATACCTAATCTCATTCGACAGAGAATATCGAAGAACTCTCTATCTTCACCTTGTCGCATATTGATATTGAAGTTGATTGGTCTAAATAAATCAGACCAAAGTGAGAAAGTTTCACCAGAAGGGCGCCAAAAAATTTGTTTGGCAGCAACCGGTTCACATTGTGCTAAATCGCCAAATAATACAACAGGAATGTTTCCAAAATAGACGTCACTTTTGTTGGCTACTTCAAATATTTGGTTTAGTCGCTTGTTTACTTTTTGAAATAGATTGTAGGAGACGAGTGAAATTTCATCGATGATTATTAATATTAAATCACCAAGTCTTTTTCGAATCGAATGTATTTTAAAGGATGGAGCATGATGCGGTGTAGATGTGTTGTCGGGACGCTAATTGACAATGATATCAATATTTAGAATATGAAAGCAATTTAACAGTTACCATGCCTAGAGCAGTATGGATAGTCCAACCATGAATATTTAAAGCAGCTTTACCAGTATGAGCCATTTTAAGTAATCCTTTTGCTCTACGTGGACGATTTCGAGTAGCTGATTCACTAATACAAAAATCGGTTAACATCTGTTCAATAATAGAGATAACATAGGATTTTCCAGAGCCAGCCAAACCATTAACAATTATATGAAAAGGTAACGGTTTTGAGATTTGTTGAGAGCGATATCGACTATCTTCATATCGCAGCAATGCTACAAGATATTGTCTGAAAAAATTTGCCAAAAAAAGCTGTTGTGTATTGGCTGATAATAACAACTCTTCAGTACGACTGGAAGGGCAATCGATTGTCATATCTTTATTGCCATGCAAGAGTTCTTCGTTATCTTCATCAATGTTTTCAGAGAAAGCACGTTTATAGGAATCTTTAATATTGTTGGTAATGTTACTATCATTCGTTTGTTCTATATTGTTGATTGTTTCATTGTCTACGTCTTCTTCATCTTCAGTTGTAAATATAAATGATGTTCTTGGTTTAATAACAAAATCATGAGCATTTAAGTCACATAAATGTTCAACTGCATTGATCATTTGTATTTTGTAGGCTCCAGGTAATATAGAAAATCGTTGTAATATATCACGTTTACTTTTCAGCAATAATTGATGGATAGTGTTTAAATCATTTTCTATACAATCAATGCATAATATTTTATGAAATATATTTATTGAATCTATACAAAATACCTAATTTACCACCCAGAAATTCTTCAATTGGGTCTCGATATGGTATTCCAATAGAAAGCATTGAATACATAGCCAACATCGAATCATCATAACGACAAGTAAAACTAATACATGCTGGTTCTTTGTGTTGAATCAATACTGAACCAGATGATAAAATGATCCGAGGAAGAAAAGTCGAAGTTTTAAGTAATGGTGGTTGATTAAATTCAGTACGCCAAAGAGGATTTTCAACGAGTGGTTCTTGTAATATTTCTTGTAATTCCATTGAAGAAGATCGATCACAATCAAACCAAGTTAAGAATTCAAACAGAGTCATGTGATCAATTACAGAAGGAGTAAATGGTCGTTTCACATATCTATGCGTAAGTGACTCAACAAAGTCATCTACACTACTGATCTGAGTTCGTCCACGTTTGAGTATTCTTTCTTCTTCCCATGGTAAAGAAATATATAAACTTTTACATCTCATTGATGAATGATACAAAGGAATGCCTATAATTTACACCTAATAAAAATTTTTATTACTACTGTATTTCTATACCTAGTACTGCCCATGATGCTTCAACTTTACCAACTTGGCGATGAGACAGTATTGCATTACCTGTTTTTAGAAGAACAGCTTTGGCTTCCGTAAGGCTCGAACAAGTACAATTTGACATTTGATACACTAAATTTTTTTCCATATGGGCATCTTTTGATACATAAGAAAATAAATATTCTGCCGATGCCCATGGATCGGTAATAACTTGAATATCATGATTGCAACGAAATGTTTTCAAAAAGTGTAGGTTGTAGGGAATTATTCGTCTAGACTACGATTGGTTTTTGAGAAAATTATAAGTAAAAAATGTAAATGAAGCAATAGTCAAAATAAAGAAATTTTATCAATTAAACTCACTTCTTCACTTAATCTTTTTACAATAATATCTCGATCACCCCTTGTCAATATGCGAGCTTCTTTGTATGTTCGAAAATGTGTTTCATTAGCCAATTCAAAAGGGCTTCCAAAACGACATCCCAACCGTTCAAAAAATTCCTTTTTTTCTTTTGCTAATTGTAAAAGATCAGGATCATCATTTGGATCAACTTGTTCATATATTTCATTTTCATGTAAATAATTTTTATTAATATCTTTTATTTGAGATTCTTTGATACTATTTCGTGTTTCTTCATCTTTAAATTTGCGTCCTCGACGTATACGAACTTTACTACTACCTTAAAGACTATACTATTAATTGATTATTTTTTCAAAACAATTTACTAGTCTTTGGAACAGGTAAATGTGTGAATGTGCCATTGATATCTTTTTACAAGTAAATGACCTTCGGGATCTATTTGTTTATCTGGTAAGCATGTAGTCAGAAATTTATCGATAAATTCAATAACACTTTTTCGTCCTTCTAATGTATCAATAGAAGGAAAGTTATCAAGCCAAAGTAACGTATGAAGATGAGGAAGACCACCACGTTGGAATTCAATTTTGAAGAAATAATTTGTAACGATATAATCAATGGAAAAAGGATGCTTCTTATCACTAATAAATTTTTCAAATGCAAGCATTTGGCGATGACACATTCGTGCTACTAGTGCACTATTTTCGTTAACAAGTTGCAAATAATCATCATCAGCTAAAGAGTCAATCGCATCATAGTTTGGATTATTTACATTACCAAATCGACTTGGATCAATATGAGTCAAAAATTCTACATCATCTTGTAAGTTGATACCCAAAAAAATATTAGGTTTGGATAATGTTGCATACATTGAACGTAGAATTTTTCTAGGGATCGACCAGAATGCAGCTGTACCTCGTACAGCTTTTCCAATAGCTAAAATTTAGTATCATATTTTACACTTTCAAACTTTCTTTTATGACATTGTGTACATGGAACGCTAATCTAGAATCGATTTACTTGGCTCCAGACTGACAGAGAGCATATTTATATAGAACTACATATAAAAATAATGATAGTTAAGTAAAGCGATGCCTAAATATTATAATAATAATGACAAAAGAAGTTGACTCCTAACTATTCTGCAGATAAAGTTTCGAAATTTCTTTTTTATGAGAAGCTATCTTAATTGTTTCTAACATAAGATTTGCATTTCCATGAATACATCAAAAAGTTTATTAGCCAGAAAAATCCGTTTCACGTCTGTACATTCATGGTGTTCGGACTATATCTTAGAGTGCGGTATTTTATAGCACCACTTCGATGAGTAGTCCTTCGTATTACTTCTTTATATAGTGCTCCTTTGTGTCATATCTGTACAGCATGGAGATTTGTATCATATCAATCACCCCATATACGTGTTATAGACAAACAGACACAGGAGAATTCTCATTTCTAGATTTTATGCTTTCATTGAAGGATATAATTAATGACTTCTCTTCACAAATGAATAAATATTTCATTTTTTTTATCAAGAGATTATCTACTACACATGTGGACAATAGATTCTTGTTGATCTAAATTATACATAAGTAAGTATATTGCTACACTTACATGGATATATGTTATAGCACAAACTATCTTTGTTGAATTGTTTTTTTGCATGGTAATTTACAGCTGTACAAAGATCATCTCTTTGAATCAAATTCATCGCTCGAAATGTCCAAATTGTGTCTGCTTGCCATCTTCTGTCAGCACACATTAATCGAACTTTACAATAATCACGAAGTTTGAGTGGAATAGGTCGTTTAGCATCAAGTTCTCCTCCTTCGCCAGTTGGATAAATCCATGGAAAAGTACACTCTTCCATTCCAGGCTGAATTGTCCAAATAGGATCTTCACCTGGTTTGAGAGTACGACTTTTGAAATATTTAAAGTTTATAACTAGAAAATCTTAATAAATCATCCTTTACCTAGGACCAAAAACAGCTTCATCAACATCAAGAATAATCGGAGCAGATGTTGTAGAATTATTATAGGCATATGAATCAATAATTCGAATCGGAGCAATATTTTCTTTACGACATTGAAACATCTCTTCAATTTTTTCTAAAGAAAGAACTTGTTTGTTCATATATCCGATGTGATGTTGGATAAGATATTGAATGGCACGAAGAATTTGAATGGCACTAACAGAATATCTAACTGTTGATTTTATTTCACCATTTTCATTCATCGGTTTCTGTTGAATAACTGCCATAAATTCATAGCATTTTGGCAATGGTAAAAGATCGCCTATATTATCAGCAACATCAACTTGACAATGTACTACTTGTCCTTTCATTGCTGATTGATGACCACGAATGATTAATATACTAATATAACAATGCATAAGTGCTATAGCTCTCTGTTCGAGAAAGCCTAATTTTAAACACATTGGTGTTACGGGAATTTCCATCATATTTCGAAAACGAGAATGTGGACATAAAGGTATATCATCTTTTGGAATAAAATCATAACAAAATGAACAAATTGTATCACCAACAAAACAATCATGATATTTTTCATGTTCTTTCTTTGCTGTTCGCATGTTACATAATGGATGTTCGCAAGTACAACATTTACAAGAATACCACGGTTGTCGAATTTCAGATAAATATCTATCAGAGAGGTCTATAGTGCAAAATATAAATGATAAATATGACTATTCTACCTTTCACTGAGAAAATTATGTATTTGTGTATCAAAAACTTCTTCAGTTATGTTTTCATTAAGATGTACTAATGAAATTGAAGAAACTTCTTGACTACTTTTTGCTTTTCTTTTCTGTCGAGACGGTTTCGTTGCACTAGATAATTTTGCGTTATTTTTACGGATTTTTGACGGTTTACGGTTTCTATTAGCTTGAGTTTTCTTCTGCGATGGTCTTGATTTCCATTTTTTATTATCAGATCGTTTTCGAGCCATTGTCAGGAACTTTGTTATTTTATTATAATATTATTAACTTTATTTTTCTTTGTATTTGAAGTCTTCAATGAATTTTAATTAATGTTTTTTTATGTTAAAAATATTAATATTTAATTAAGGTAATATATTTGACGATTTTGTTAGATAAACAATTTTTTTAAATTATATAATTGTAGCGCGTTTAGCCAGAAGAAATTTTATTCTGAATCATAATTTTTTTTGTTTTATCAACTTTTTTTAAAAATGAAATCAGCAATACAAGATACATTTCTTATTGGACATGCTCGAAGAATGCGTAAATCTCGACAAA